AAGATGCACAATTAATTTTTAAAGGGTTACTTGTCTAATGTGGGCGATTATACACCTGATTTCCACATGTTTCTATGACCACATGTTCAATTTGAGTGTAGAAATTTCAAATGGTCAGTTGTGAACTTAAAAGCCGTTCACACAACCAAAGAGCTGGTTTGTATTATGTAGTTGTTGCATAAGCAACTAGTTATCTCTCTGCTTACGCCCTTCTTCACACACTCTGGGGCTGATGCCTTTTCCTAAATTTGACATGACAGTTAAATATAATTATTCAAACTACTGCCACTGTATTTTACTTATTTCTGATATTTCATAGCAAATGAAGGCATAGATGATACTGTATTTTGTCCAAGTAATTCATAGTAATACCTCGAAACACTACTGTGAGCTGGATTTTTGTCAGATCAGCTGCCCACTTTGCAGCAGAGGATTATTTATGTATTTACTTGCTTGCCAGAGCAATTTTAATTTAAGCATTAATTGTATGTGCTGCTGAATACCATTTATATCTGAATACCTGATTGATAGACCCAGTCCAGACAGAGCAGTATTCGCCAACATTTGGCAGTTTGTAGCAACACAGACAGTCGTTTGCTGATGCAAACTGCGAGTCGGAGTTTCAGACTCGACTCATAGCAGTGAAACATGCCTGCTGTCTAACAGGCGCGCTAGCAGTCTGTCTGGGGCAAGCATTTCGGCCTGTTTGTCAAGATTTCCTTTTTCTTTTCGTTTGACCTTTAGTAAAGATGCACCTGTACTTGGCGCCATGTATTAGCCGATCCCGTGGGTAGTCACAACAGCGTTTGTTGGGGTTCCTTCACGGCGGAGGCGGCCTTCTACGTCTATGACAATGACTTCGGCTTCATTCAGTTGGTCCAAGCTAATGCAGGAGTGACCTTTCCCTGCTAACCCCCTGCAGAAATCAGATACACCATCCATGTGTGGCATTTCATTGTGGACAGGGAGAGTGGAGGCGAGGGAAAGCCAAGAGATGGGTAGAGACAATGGCTTTGTCTCGCTAATAGGCCGGAGATACCACTGCATACCACACGGAGTGGATAAAGAAAGGGCAAAGGAAGGCAGCTTGAAATGTGAGAGTAGTGGAAATTCCCTCTCCTTCACACACTGACTTCTTGTTGCCTGCTTGCTCGCTTCCTGCCCTAAAAGAAACCAGGCTGGGGAAAAAAAAAAAGCAGATGGGGAGCCTTCTCGTTCCTTGATAATTGGCCTTTGCAGACACAAACGTTAAACCCTGCAGCCACAAGACCATCAGTTCTGCTTGTATTTTTTCCTTGCACTTTTATTGTGTTTCTCCGTAGATTTTAAATATAGTTTAACTAACAATCATGTCAGCAAATTAAACCATTGAGTCTCGGTAATTATTGCAATAAATTCATTCAAAATTAGCGATTACTGCAATCAAAGACCAGTTTCTTAGCCCATTAACAGCCCAAAGCAAAGTGACAATCTGGTTAACTGCTGGTAACAACCTATTTCATGGGGGTTATTGTTAACATAAATGCTTCGGCATAAATCTGAGGGAGGTAACATTGCTAAATAATTTATCAGCTTAATTCCTGCAAAAAACTCATAAGATTAAGTGGGCAATAGGGAAAAAAAAGGAAAAAAAAAAAAACACAGACAGAATTATAACCGTAAAGTATTATTGTGTTGGGTTTTTTTTTTAATTTGAGTTATGTAGAAAAAAAATATCCTCAAGTGCATTAAGTGCATTTCCCTTTGTGGTTAGGTCTTCTCAACCACAGAAGGACTTGTGTGCCAGAGCTGAGTAGCTGCACCTATATCTTGATTTACCCCATCTTATATTTGAGTCCAAAGATGAAGTGAACTGGTGAAGTTTTAAGTAGTGAAGTTTTAACCATGGTACCTGGCAGCCTTCTTTATTTTTTCTTGTATTACTCTCTTAATCCCTCCACCTCCTTGAAGCAGCTGAGGAATGTTGCTTCCATTGCTTTATATGTGCCTTAAATTTCCCCTTGCAGTGGTAGACTGTGCAAGGGACAGAGTCCTGCATTAGCCCTGGAAATAGCCACGGATGTGCCGAGGAACCTCACCAGTGGTGCAGGGTCGGATCCTAAAGGGGACTTAGACAATGACTCACATTCAATTTTTCTTCAGACGCTTCTGAGATAGATCTGCCAGCCTCAGTTGCTCTTTTGCTTTGCAAAGCTGTACCAGGGAGAAAGAAGAGCTCCACACACCTCTGTGCACAGGAGCACGGAGAACCACTTTGCTCTGTGCTCTTACCCATACGTGCGTGTTCAGGTTCCCTGTGTAGGACACTTGTTTGAGAGGCAGAGGGTTTGGATTCTGCTCCTGTCATTAACTGTGTCTGCTTTGCCTCTGTACAGTCCAATAACACATGCACGTTTTCTTGGGGCAGCGCTTACCCTCCTTTGGAAAACTTTCCTCTGGAAAAAGTTCGGAGTATTATTGTGCTATAGCTATGGTAACTTGTCCGAGTTCCAAAATGCCCTTTGGGGCTAAGAAAGCTAACAGATGGGGCTTTGAATGAGAACTTTTTGCCAAGAGAGGCTGGACCAGATGATCCTTGAGGTCCCTTCCAACCTGGTGTTCTGATTCTATGAACTTTTTGGAGGACATGTTGCGGGACCACATGTGCATGAAATCAGTTTCCTCGGAGAACTGCCAGTCTCTTCCAACCTGGTTGCTCTCCTTTGATCTTCATCAGGCCCATGTGTTTTCTGAGCAGGACAGCAGCCATAACCATCCTGCTGTAAGGCAATATGAATTCTGTGCTCATTTAATTTCTTCAGTCTGAAGATCTTCAGAGAGTTTCAAATAAGATATTTTTAACTCTGCTTCAGTCGAATTAAAATAGTTTAGAGTAGAAGAGCTATAAAACCTGAAATATAGGGAGTTTGTTTGATTTCACTCTGTGATTTCACAGAAAGCTAAAATATTTTTGTATCACGAAATGTCCAAAGTAAGGGAATGAACAAAGCAGGTGTAGATATTGATACTGTCAGTGAAACTGCAAAAGAGGCCGGACTGAATGAGAGCGAGCTCCGGAATGAGGAGTGAGGAAACTTGTGTTGCCTTCTCCTCTTTCAACTTTAAGGCAAAGTAGATCTATAATTCCTGACACTGACTGAAAGTGACTGGGAATGAGACATAAATTCTTGTTGACTTAATTTGTTATTGAAATTTTAGTCAATAATCATGAAAAGTAAATGATCATGTAGTGCAATATTAGATGTCTAACAAAAGATTAAAATTCAGGTTATCTTCATTGACTGAGCTAGGACAGTACCTAAAATAAAAATCTATGAGTAGATTAACATGTTAAACAGTCAGTGAGATGTTAGGTTTTGGTTTTTTTCTTTTTTGATGGATTTGAGAGTAGAAAGGTCTAGCAGGTTTTTTTCTTTTTACTGTGTATCACAGCTGCCATTTCTAGCCAGCTAACAATTTCTGTACATAAAACAGACAATAGATTATCATATTACTTGAGCTTTCATGTCAAAACCACATTCATTTTCTGAATCACGTTCAATTCATCAACCAATATTTGCTCAAGGGCTTTTGCCAGCTACAATGTATCATTTTAATATAGTGTTGAACATTGGTTTTATTCTAGAGGTCAAATAATTATTATCTTGTTATTGTTATGGTTATCATTTTGTAGTTGTTATTATTTTTTTTTTGTTCACATGCCCTGTGCTATTATTTTTTTTTGCAAAGGTTGCTTATGTGGGCCTTAATCCACCTCTTAAAAAGATGCTTAATGTTAAACACATAAACAGTCATTCTTGATGTCAAAGGAACTAACCCTATGCATAAAAGTTTCCAGCACTTTGCTGAGTCAGAACCTCTGTGACCTCTCAAATGAAGACTGACTCAAATTAGCATTTAAATTGGGTGCAATTTGTACTAATGCACTGGAAGTCATCTTCCAAAGCAGGAGGTTTCTGCAGCCATTGAAGAGGCAGAGGTAGCTCTTCTATTTCGACTGTGCGTCCCCTTTTGACTTAGCTCCTAGGACGCAGGGACTGCAGGACACATTTGAGGGTAGAGCTGGCTTCTCGGTGAATAAAATCTAGAGTTTTGTGCTATGGAGGATTAACCAAGGTTCTTGAAATGCAACTGATTCTTATCCGTGTCCCAGGAGCAGCAGTAGCTCGGTGAAGAAGGTGGCAAAGAAAAGGGAAGAGAAGCTATTCCCTCCTCCATTGTCTCCCCTCTTGGATGAGCCCGTGCACCGGCGGCACAGCAGTGACAACAGCTCCTTCAGCCAAGAGACCAACATCACAAACGCCTCTCAGACCAGCAGCTCTTCCTCCTCTGTTTCTAAACACAGAAAGAATGAAAATAAATCCTCTTCTAACCCCAAAGGAATCTGTGTAAGTAACCAACTTCTGTTGCTGGAAGTGAACAAGATAAAATAAAATTAGCTTAGCTTTGTTCTGTTTGATTTTTTTTTCCAAGTATCTATTTTTAAATGCTTATGTAGCCCAACTCAAGAGCAGCGAGGAGCAGATCTTTGCAGAGCTGGTCATAAGCAACTCTTGCAGGTTCCATTTTTAGGTCAGCATTAGGCATCTCCTTGGTGTTGTGTATCAATCCCTGAAACACCTGGTCCCTGAGCCTCACGGGAGAGCCTTTGCAGCCACCAACTAGCTGCAATTAGTCCCTTAACTCTGTAGCTACAACACACACATTTTGCAATTAAAACTTCAAGAATTTTGGTATCCATCACCTGAATAATTACCCCAAATTCTCAGCCAGAATTAAGCGCTATAGTTATACTGAATATTGCGGCCTAAACTAAACAGATAATAAAAATCAAAAAAAAAACCCTACCTGTCTATAAGACACTCAACATGGAAATATCTTCTCTCAATTTTGCAGGCTCCCAGCAGTAAGGTTTATTTACACCTGTTGCCATGAATTACGTATATATGCTTTTAGATACCGTGTAAATAGTTTTTTTTTTTCTCTCCAAAAAATATTCTGTTGGGGCCATCTCCCTGTCAAATGTTTTCAAATAGACAATTCTTTCTTGCTTGCTTTTTACCAGATTCAGATGTTGTTTTATGGAAAATACATGAAAAAGAGCCAAAACTAGAAGCTGCATACCAAATTCACTAAAAAAAAAAAGTAAAATTTCACATCAGTTTATCATCCTCGTTTAGATTAAACAGGGAAACTTCAGGGGTTTGGCCCATTTTAGGAAACAGTCGTCCCTCTAGAGTTTCAAACATATCGTTAGTATCAAACTATATCTCAGTATTACTGTCGAAATTAAAAGGCAAGAAGGAAATTCTGCCACAGAAAAGGACATGCATAGCCCCATTTTTCACAGTTCGCCGCTTTGTGAGAGGTTGTTACCCTGCACGGTCATAGTAAAACTCACAAGTTGCATTGGATCATAGGTGACAAATCCCTTCACCTTATTCATTCATCCCTGTTGCTTTCTGATATCATCGTGTCACTTCAAGCTGCGAGAGTAATACACACACCTTCAACTGAAATCAATGCCAAAATGAACTGCATATGTCAGCAAATAAACAATGCCATGTAAACAGCAGGGCCACTTCCTCTCACTCCCAGCATCTCTAGTCAGATTTATCCTTGGTTTATCTATTATCCTGATACATGAAATATTTGTTTTCTAAAAGATGTTAGACTTCTTTCCCCAGTTCATTGGTTCAACTGTAATTCAGTTGATCTGGTTGTGGACCTAGCTTGCAAGTTGCAATTGCCTGATTTAAATGCTTCTGTTATGCTGCTGGTTTTAATCAATGCAAAGTCACAACTCCTGACTTCTGCTTTCCATTCTTCTCTCTGTTGTGTGTAGCAAAGGTGAGGAAACCATTCCTTGCTGAAATCTGAGCAGGCTTTCCAGACACCTTACAGTTAACTAATAATATAGAAAAAAGGTTGCATTAATGTGATACACCTTGAATGAAATTGAGTCTAAATCCAGCCCTTCTACATTAAATATCCCCACCCTTGCTTTAACCGGTGTCTCTAGTCAGTAACACTGTGGTATCCAGGCTGACTTCACCTACAAGTGTAAGTTAATAAGTTCAGGTGAGGAGTCAGAGGTAGAGTCATATTGCCTAATTAATCCAATAGGCTTGTGTTATAAAGGATGGAAGGGTGGTTCTGTAGGTAACCTGGGTGTAGTTGGTTATTTACAAGTGCTACTTTGTGCCCTAGCCTTTTGTTTGTTGGGTTTTTTTTGAGGGGGTAGATATGAGCGCTTATATTGTCGGAAAGTGTTTGTTTGGACTATGAAGAGTTAATAACAGTCCTTTTTTTTCTAGGAGGAAGAATCTCACAACACACCAACAGCCAACACTCTTCTTGACACCAGTCATCTAGAAACAGACATCTGGTCTACAATGCCAACGCTTTCCAATGGGAATTCTGAGCCCAGAAGACCCAAAATAACATTTGATGATGTGTAGGTATTATTGTATCTCTGTGCTAGCTGCGTGCTATGTCGTTGGGATTTTCATGCAAGCAGAGCTCCCAGTGAAAAAGAGTATCTTTGATTGTAACAATGGCATTGGGCACCTGTGTGGATAGTGCTGCACAAAGGCACACACAGTTTTAATCTTTACAAATGAACTGTTGTCACTGATTAATGAAGACTCTGTTGATAAATGTTTTCAGATCATGAATGTTGGTTCATGGTAATTCTTCTTCATTTTTTTATTTTAGCTCCTCTAATGGAAACTTCTTATACTTAATTAATTTAAAATATTTTTCCTTTTCCTCTGTTCAGCACATATTAATGGGTCCTTTGGGTGGCCAGTTTCTACAGCTAGTTATTTTATATTCTGGTCACCCATCATATCTTTGCATACGGCTGATTCAGATTAATATCGGGTTAAGATTTAAAGAGATAAGTAGGTGTATATGTCAAAATTGTTCTTGGAAGCAGTCAGCAATTTTCTCAAACAATGTTTGTCCAACTGTGTGAAAACAAAGACCTGAAATAATTGATTTTGTCTCTTTAGGCTTCACAACGCTGATTATTACATGCAAGAGGCGAAGAAGCTAAAGCATAAAGCAGATGCATTGGTAGGTTATCACAGCGTTTCTTTGTCTCTTTCCACTGTGGAGCTGGATGTTACAACAATGTACTCTCTGAATGTCATCTAAAGCCTCTGAAACCAAGAGGAACCCTGCTATTGACTAAAGCTTTGATTCAGATTGTACTCCGTAAACACGCTGTCTGCAAGTCAAACCCTGAGCACCATTCCTAGCCTTTAACAATTCGCTCCCCAAAAAAGAAGCTCCTTATAATAGCTGGTATCTTTTCTGAGGAGGAGCAACAGTCATGCTGTTTATGAAGGATGTAAGATAATTTCATGAACTATGATATGTATTTGAAATTTGTTTTCCTATTCACTTTGAGCCTAAAACTAAAGTGTTGAAATATTCCGTAACAGAAAGTTAAGAAAGGCAAATCACCCTCCACCCCATTACCATGTGGTAAAACTGTTTGATATTTCCAATCCAATTGTATAAAATTTGCAACAATTGCTTTTTAAATAGTACATTCATTTTTATTGCATGCTTTTAGGCTGGTAAATAAAGACTCAACACACTTCTTCCCAAAAAATCTTGCAATGAGATAGTTCAATGCTGGGAAAACTTTTTTCCTCATTTTACCCTAGATGAAATTCCAATAAGATTGACCTAATTTTGCAAAGTGTTTTGATTTTGATGAAACTACTTAATCTAGCAGGTTATACTCTGTCATAGTTTGTTCCAGCCAAGCTATTGCTGGCACCGAAGTGCCTTTAGTGGCCGTTGGCTTTATCAGTTCGGACTTTGCTCCTGTGTGCTACAGAGAGTGCAACAGCAGCTCATTTAGGCAGGCTTAGTGGAACTGGACTCCTCTACTTGTATGAACTAAGATGTCTGAAATGGAGTATGGCTGCTCACTTTGCCCCTCAAAATCACAATTGAAAAAGAACTGGGTGATTATTCACCTCTCACTTTATTATTCGTGGGTTTTTTGCGTGAACATTATATCATTCCACCTCAGAGATTTTGTGCTTGGAAATAAGTGTTTGTCCAAAAAAACACTCCAAAACAATCACATGCTGTGTTTTTTAAAAAAAAAAAACAAAAATTAAAAAAAGGCTCTCGTTCTGCTGTTGGTGAGCTGAAGGAGAGTTGACATGTCAAGCTGTTTGTTTCAGCTCTCCGGGCTCCCTTTTGACTTGGGGCACGGTGTCACCAAGTGTTTTCTGTGCGCGGCGGGTTCAGGTTTTTGCAGCCCGCCGTGTCTGGCGGTAAGTTCGCAGGCGTCGCTCCCGACCTGCCCATTTTCCGGTGGCCTGCACTGATTCCTGCAGCCCGACTCCACGGAGCGTGTTCAGCCCGAGCCCCGACATCTGCACGCGGGGAGGGCTGGCAGAAGCAGCCTGACAACACCTCCCTCAGCTGATGGACCTTTGCAGAAAATACACACGGTTCTGGCACAGGGATGCCCGCGCCACACTGGCAAATATTTACAGGCTCGAGTTCCCGGTGATCGCAACACGCTGTGTCAATCCACTTCCCTTCACAGCTGATTCACTCCGAAAGCATTGACCTGTCTCCCGTCCTCCTACCTCTGACTATGCCTTGCGGAGTCCGGGGTGTTTCTCAAGCAGAACTAAGAGGAGCAGGCGCAGCACATCGCGCTGCTGCCCGCAGGCAGCCCTTGCCTGTCGCATGCGGTTTGACACCCCAAGTGCTCTGATGGGAATGTGAGGCCTTCCGCTACGATACAACTTGTTGGCAGACATAAATACCCATGAACAAAGTATCTGCTTTTCCTTTCCGCTATTTAGGTCTCAACATTTTTTTTCCACCCAATACAGCTGCACACAAATTATCTCCATGTAACACATTTGCTGTGCAGTCCCGTAGTGTTAGTTGTCCTATGGAAACAATTGCTTCTGGTTACTTGGTGCTGACATGACAAAGCACACGCAGCATCGAAAGATGTGTTGCAGTGGCTGGGAAGATAATGCATGAGACCTCAAAATGTGTCAGCAAATGTTAATGAGGTTTGTGGAAGTACTGTTCCTGAGCTTGTAGGGCAAATAGATTTCTGGTGGAGGGCAGGGTATTTTGTGTCTTATGGGAGCGACCCCATGAAAACCTGTCCTTGTCTGGGATGGCAGTAAGGAATCAACTAGTTTGGGTGGGCCTGCAGTGACAATTGACTGTACTATATGGAAGAGATCTTGGAGACCTTGCTCTGTTCTCAGCTGCGCTGTGATGAGCTGGAGTAATTCCACCTCCTACTACACTAGAGTCAGAGTGGAGCAAAGGGCAGGATCCGATTCCATTTCTGGCTCAAACTGTGTGTCTATACTAAATCTGCTTGCAGCCAAATTCTTTTTTTTCTACCAGAAAAAGTCATCTTTGGATGAGAATATGCTGAGAAGTGGCCATTGGAATAGAGAGAAAACGTTTATAAATGTTTCCTCTTTTGTGATCGTTTAAGTAACGCCTATCAGTTATACAAAGGCTTTGTACATAATCAACGCACAAGAGCAGAACTTGAAATTCAAGGTGTGCAGAGGGAAGCAGTTACAAGGATTGCTTAGAAGTAGCCACAAAGGCAAATATACTGTCACCTTGGACCAACACTAAATGTTCTGCTTAATATGTTGCTAGGATAGGCTTCCATTCTGTGAATGGAAAACACATGCAGATGCATCAAAAATATTTTGATAGAGACATACAAAGAAATTTTAAAATTATTTAAAGTATATTGGATCTCTTGTATCAAATGCCACATTAGTAGAATTCTTATACCCAGCTATCAAAAATTGAAAATGTTAAATACTATTATAAAATACTTACTATAAAAATGTCATATATAATATTCATTACACATAAAAAAAGAAATCAGTATGTCTAAGTCAGTTTAATCACAACCATTACGAGGGCTAAAACCTTTGCAATAAAACCCTAGTAAAATAAAATATTTAGCAGTGCTATATTTTCTCCTTTTTTTTCTTGCTCTTTCAGTCATCGCATAAGTGATGAGATTTTTTTTTTTGGTCAACAGTTAACACAGAATGTGACGTCTGACAGATGCAGTTGTTACTTAACCCTTGCATAGTGACATTCAAACTTAGTTCATATATGGAGGAGCAATACAGAGCTGCTCAAACACGCTTAGTGTCCCTCATTGCCTGGGTAGTTCCGTGCATGTCAACAGACATACATTGGCTTTCCTCTGTCGAGCATCTGGCCGTACACTACCTGAAAAGATTTGGTGAAAACGTAAACCCTGCCTTAATTACTGTGTGAATTCATTCTTAACTACCGGCGTCACTTTGCTTTCATCCTAATGCTAGTGTTGCTTTATATTATAATCTGTCTACCTAGAAATTAAAGCTGAAGGATTTTCTTGACGGTGTCATTCCTATTTCAGCTGGAGAAGTTCGGCAAAGCAGTGAATTATGCTGATGCTGCCCTCTCCTTCATCGAGTGTGGGAATGCTATGGAGCGAGATCCATTAGAAGCTAAATCTCCATACACCATGTACTCAGAAACTGTGGAACTCATCAGGTTAATGTCCTTTCTGTGATCATTTTCATAATCTCATTTCAGTCATAATTAGAACCTGCTATGTTTTAAAAAATACCATTTCAATGTATTAATGATTTGTCCAAGGCATCTTCATCTCAGAAGTCATCATAATTAGTTCTTGCCATTTTATTAATGTCATGGAAAACTTATAATTGATGGACACTGCTTTTATAAATTATCCCCTTTAGAGGTTATAATGTGAGTGTTATAATTTGCAATATTCATAAAATTAAAATTGAAATGTAGTGGGTGGAAGTAAAGTATAGTAATTTCACTGTTTGGCAATGACACTTGTCTTTTAAAAGGTGTAGTTTTATAATTCAAAACATTAAAGTGAGTCTGTCAGGATTTCTATTACAAACCCTGGTTTTAGAGGTTTATAACTTGGCTGTTAAAAAAAAAAAAAAAAAGGCAGCTGAAACTTGGCACATAAGATCATAGCCAGAGAGGAAGCTTTCCACATGTATTGTTTTAAAAAAGTATATTTTTTAATGTTAAAAGAATGTGAACCGGCTGAACTAGTTTTAATACAGTTTTGTAGACTCGTAGACTCGAATATGGATGAGAGCAGCTTTACTTACTAATAAAAAGTCTGAATTATTATTTTAAAATCTGCTACTGTTCCCTATAGTTGTTTCATAGTGTTGGCTCCATAGATATAATGGTCTCCTGAGTAACTAAGGGTTTGTTTGCTTTACTTGGGCAAATTATCAAAGTGAAATCAAGCAGGATTAAATTTACCTGTAAGTAGAACAACAGGATTTTTCCTCTTCACTGTGACGCACTTTTGCTTTCCCCAGTGTATGCTGGGAATATCACCATTAATGTCAGGGTAATTACTGGCAGTTTACACAAGAGAAAGAAAAGGAGGCAAATCAGGTCCTAAATGTTTGAGTTTTAATATGACAAAGGTGTTTTTTTAATGTGCAGGATTTTAACATGCCAGATTAGCTATTAGGGACTGCCAAAAATAATGCGTGTTTTACATTTTGAATAAGTAGGTATTTACATAATAAAATGCATCAAATCTTAAGACGGTCTTACTCTCTAGTAAATAATATGCCTGTTAAATATTTAAAAACATGTTTTTACATTCCACACATTTTACTTCCACACTTAGAGAAGAAAATCTAAAGAGATTACTCAACAAAAAAACAATGCTCACTCAACACTTAGAATCCAAGTTACACCCTCGAGAGCAGAGAGTAAAGGAGTCGCCTACCTCTGCTCCACTGTGCTGAAACTTTTCCTGCACCCTGACAGTACTTTGTGTCTTGAACACTACAACTACAGTTGTATGGCAGGATAAATTGTATTTAAAGAAATATTCTTTAAAGAACTTAGTGCTCCTTCATAGGAACCCACATTTATTTTTTAAGAAAACCACATGGCACAGTTTATGGTATTGTTCCTCAGTCCAGCAGACTGCTCAGAAGCAGATGGACCAAAAATCTTCATTCATTCAAGAGCCACAACACATGCACCAGTTAACTCAGAGAATGGCAGCCCTGGGAGTAGCTCACAAATGGGTGATACCTGCAGCTCCCCTCCACCCTGTGGTGCTGGTGCTGGATGGAGTCAGCTGAGTGTTACTGCATCCTGGAGCAACTGGCGCTTATCAGCATACACAGCCCCACTGCCTTGCGTGTCTTGGCAGCTCCTGTATCAGCACAGTCCTGCCACAGGCTACATTATAGATAGACCTTGGCATGGAAGCAGCACCTGAACTGCTTTTGGATTGCTTTTTGAACTACTTTTGGCTATGGAAGAATCTGGAGGATTTTGTTGTAGTATATCTCCAATTTCTAAATAGCTAAAGTCAAGAGAGATTAATTCCACCACCTGCCATCAAACGCTTAACTTACCAGCTCTTGTATGCAGCATCTTGTAGGCAGCCAGTGAGAGACTTATGTGCCCGCTTAATTGCTGTTGGTGGTCAGACATGGAAAAGAGGTGATTGCCCAGGTGAGCAGCAGGCTGGTACAGGTTCAGTATAACTCCATGGACAAATGCACAATTCTTCTGGGCTACAGTGGGTGTTGAATGTACAAACCATGTATGCGGCTGTGCACACACATTTTCTCAATGTGGCTTCTAATGTTAACCTAGATTTTTACTGTGAGTTGAGAAATAGGAGATTTTTCTCACTTTTACTCCTCCCTTCATCAGAGGCACCATTTTCCCCTTTCACATAAGCTGTGTCTGCCTCGAGTATCTGCATCAGACACCTATTTGTGAAAGCAACTGGAGCATCAAAGAGACTGGGAGTATCAGATCTGACTGTCAAAGGTGTTTTAAGTTAACAGTGTTGCCGAAATGCCTAACGTAACCCTGAAAATCCCAAAGAGACATGTATCTTTGTGTCTGATCAGATTCATTCGGTACTGGAACAGCAGTACCAAAAAGCAGGTGAGACAGAACATAAAGGAAGCACATCAGGTGGTGTGCTACAGCTGCAAACTGGAGGCTGATGATGAGGGTGGTGGGAGGAAGGCAGAGCGAGAGCAGCACTGCCTGCTTGCACTCCATTACCTCCTTGTAAATGAGAACTCATCAAGACTGCCTGGATACCTTAAAACTTTCTTACGCAACGCTGAACCCTATTACTTATTCTAACACAAGTACCTGTGAAATTGCATTAGGGCTCAGAACAATGATTTTATGCGATGAATTGATTTTCAAGAGACTAAATGCATGGAATGGAGTGTGCTCAGTTAAAGAAAAAAAAAAGAGAGAGGAGGTAGGAATACTCAGTCTTTGATCATTCAAATGCTGGACAGCAGCAATTAAAGAGAGGGAAGACCATGTACACAAGATTCATAAATTAACGGACCCAAGAATTTTAAAAGCTGTGAACGTGACCTTTCCTGTATTTAAAACCGTTTTCTATATAAAATATATTAAAAGCTTTGAAGAAGCATTTATGAGAAGGATTTTGAAGGTATTATTCAAGCCCAAAGTATTAGATGTAAAACCTTGTTATATATTACTCGACTCTTCAGTACCTATAAGGCTGAGATCTTATGTTTCTGTCCAAGTCATCACAAATGTTTGCAGGACTCAGCCTAGATGGCTGGATATAATATCATTAATATGCCCGAGAACAGTTCACCTCATTGGCCCAGAAAATGGGTTGGTGATTTACTTTAGCCCTCCGGATTTTAAGTGGTGCTTTCTGTTGAATTTTACATTGATCTCATCGTTACGGAACAACGTGACCATCACCTGTTGCAGTCGGAGAAGAATATCTAGGTGTGGCTGTTATATTTCAGAGTGTCATTAATATTCCTGGAAACATATTAACTCTCAGTTTCTTCTCTGCTCACCTTTCTGACAAGGTATGCAATGAGACTCAAGAATTTCACAGGCTCTTCTGCCACGGAAGGGGACAAGAAATTAGCAGTTTTATGGTAAGTCCCATTGCGACAATGAGAGAAGCAGCTAAAATCTTAAGGAGGACTTTAAAAGTACTGAATTACTTAAGCAGCTTACAGAAGATCATTATTCTTGTTTTCCATTAAACTATTAAAGGATAACTAATGGATTTCTTCAGCAGCTGACTAAACATTTATTCTTCTAATTTATACTCTTATCAAGATGGGATTTTAATGCTTTTGACCATTTTTTTTTTCTTTCTCCAATTGCTTGTGTTTCAAAATCTAACCTTAGAACAGAAACTGCAAAATATAGGTCAGCATTTTTTTTTTTTTTACAGTTTATAGGTTTCATTAAGCAATGGAATTAACATAATCCTTTCCTAATTACCACAGCTACCGATGCTTATCACTTCTCTACTTGAGAATGTTTAAACTAAAGAAGGACCATGCTATGAAGTACTCCAGATCTCTGATGGAATATTTTAAGGTAATCTTTATTCTGTTTAATTTATTGATATGAAATGAAATTCATACCAGCACTGACAGCTCTCACAAGTACAACTGCATGACTTAAAGTTCCACATTTAACCTCTCCTCTGGGAAATGCAGGCAGAATGGCTGCCAAGGAGTGAGGACAGAAGTGATTTGGGGGATTTTTGGATTAGTCACTTGATTCAAAGGACCATACTCAGTAATTCTACTAAAATAACATTATTCTCAACACCATGTAATGTTTATGCAAGTTTCTGTAAAGGAAACTGATTATTTCAAGATTTCAATGTGCAAGTGATTATGAACTGACCCCCAACGAACCATGATAAAGCAATTATTTAGGCTTTATTTAGTTAAATTTAGATTATAAATTCAGTGAAATTTGCTGAAGCTTACTGCAAACTCAGAGATTTCTCCTTTGATTTCTGTGGAACTTCAGATTGCCTTGTCTACATCTTGAAAGTTTACCTTGAATCAGCTGGAGATCAGCTAATTGTCATGATTTGGTGATGGTAAATGCTGTTTATCCAGTGTAAGAATGACAAGTCCTCACTATTCCTAAATTAAGAGAGAAACAGAATCTTTCTTCAGCTCTGCCAAGGTTTCGATGTTTGTGTTTTACTAATTAATGCTGTTTGAAGCATACATTAATTCTTGTACTTTATTACTACATACTATTCTATAATTATGTAATTATACTGGTTTGTCAGCCCATCAGTCTTTTTTTGTTGATCTTTTCAGCCTCTATGAATTTGTTCCAGGGTTTGACATATTAGTACTGCAAACCAGTAAAACTTTTAATACTGCAGTTTTAATCTTTTCATGTAAATGGTACTAAAAAGGTCCTTCTGCTGTAAAACTCCAGTACTATCATGCTAGCAATCACCACTTAGTCCTGACTTCACTGGTGTCCTTTGTGTATGTGTGTGTGTGTACCTCTATAACTTCAGTAATGTAACTCCTGATCTTCTGCTTAAATTGAGGCTCTCTTGAAGTCATTAGGAGTGCCTCTCTTGTACTTATGGAGTTTTCAGTCAGCGATTTGCACAGCAAATTAAATTTGAACTAGACACATTTATACCCTTTTAGCATCTTCATGAAATGTATTCCATCCTCTTCAGATTTTGTCCAGGATGAGTGTAAGTTGCCTCTTAAAAAAGGTTATTAGACAAATCATCTGATAAATTTTTTCTGCAGAAAGTAATGATTTCTTTTTAAAAAAGAATGGAGCAGGGGAGATTCTCTCTTCCCTTAAAGCCACTTTACTGTCTCTAGCTGTGCAAATAGGTACAATGAAGAACGTATTACTACTCCCAGTATAAGACCATTTTACTACATCGGCACAGAGAAAATGTCTTTTAACATAAATGAAAATAAGAGGGGAAAAAAATTAAAACACAATGAAATAGACGAATCGGGAGTGCTGGTTTTAGGCCTTTGAGTCGAAGCTGAGTATTTCAGCTGATGTTACTGTGTGTGTGCTATGGGCACTGTAACTCATTTGCTAGAAATAGTGTTTCAGGGCATATAGATTATATGTTCAGGATCTTTTTGTAGTAGGAGGAGAAAAGAAAAAAATGGGGGCTATTAACTGCTTACTAGTTTTGTATTGCTGCACAATGTTCTCTGTGTTCACTAGCGAGAATCTGTAACACAAATGAAATAGATTAGCTATTTGAATAGAGGAGTTATTCAAAATTTTGCACAATTTTAACTGTGAAAAGCAGCCCACTGTTTACAGCAGAGCTGGAGCGGATTTTTTAGTAGAATTGTTTTTCATGGTTTTCCTCACAAATGTCACTTTGTCCAAATTGAAACCATTTGTGGAGAGAACGGGTTCTGATTAATTTCCAATTAAAAGTTTCAAATTGGTATTTTTGACATTTCAAAACAGAAAATAACCGTTTAATTATAAAAGTAGTTTTGAAATTTGGAGACAACTTGGAGTAAAAGACAACTAAAATAATAAATTTTTTAAATGGAAATCAAACTTTTTAAGATTAGCAAATGTGACATCCTTTCATGCATTTCACCTAAAAGTTTGAGGAAGATTTTTATGTTTTTGAAAATGTGTTGGCGAAAATATTTCAAATATTTTCATTGTCACGTAACTACCTTCAATCAAGATCTAGTCTTAATCTTGACAGATCTAGTATTTGTCTCCAAATACTGTCAGGAACAATCAAATATACACACCAGATAGGCTCTGTACTGCAAAGCACTCCATTTCGTGCTCACATCTTTAATGAGACACAGTGGCACGCTGCATAGCAACATACAGGCAAGGCCAGTATCATGGTTTGGGCAGTGTTTTCTGCTTTGGTCACTCCTGTTTGGAAAGTTTAGCTGTGTTCTAGAGGTCAAGGGTAGGATTTTGCTCCCAGAGTCTGCTGCGTGACCTTGGGCTGTGCCCCGGACTGCTCTGTTCTCCACTGAGTCTCTGTGCCCCGCATGCAAAATAGCAATTACAGTAACCAGATGAATCTTGTAACAATGATGGTAATACTTTGCAGAGAACTTGTAAAATTTGATTCAATTGTCACTGTGCATGCTGACTTCTTTGCAAGGGAGCTCAGAATGATTGTTTTCAGAAAGCACACATAGATAGCTTCAGCCTTGATAATACCACTTTTTATGGCAACTAAGATGATACCACCCAGTCTGAGCAAGACTGGAAAAATTTAGGCTTTACTGTTGCTGGCCAATCTTTATGTACAGGGTTGTACAAGGTGCTACATAGACATGAAAGGCAGAATGAGTAAGCAGGTAAAGGTAAAGAAAGTTAATTTGTGCAAATAAAATACATTAAAACAAGAGCATTCCAGCAGATCCTTACTAGAAGTTTTATTTCTCCTACTATCTGAATCCCAAGCCACCTCACCTGGCAACTTAGGAGGGATTAATTTTGTTAAGGCATCAAGCCCAATTCTTTTTGTTTCTTATTAAAAGATTGTAGGTCCCCCTAAAGATGAGAAGTCATTTACATTCTGAAGAACTTACTTTGTAGAGTAAATTTCAGTGGTAATTAAATCACTTCTTTGTGAACTACGTCTGCTTTTGCTGGAACTTTACTGTATTCCTTCTTTCATCAAGTGACGTTCAAGCTACTGATTGGAACACACCAATCATCCACTTGCCATTTGATTATGGGATTGAGGTGCAGAGCTGTTCTGCTACATGTGCTGTAGCTCTTGGCAACGAAAACAGGGAGTGTTGAGCCTTGTGTCATCAGTGTTCATGTACTTGCATCGCCTTTATTTACATTTTGGTTTTGTACTTACAGAACTCTTCAAAAGCCTCACAGGCCCCCTCACCTTGGGGTGGCAATGGAAAGTGAGTATTTTCTGCTGAGTACTTCTGTCTGGGAACAAGTGGTTCCAAGAGGGGGGGGAAATGTTTTGGTGCCTCTGAAGGCAAAGGGCAGGCCATGACTCAGTGGTTTGGAAGCTGCAGGTATGTTTCAAATATGTAGCAAGTAGAAAGTGTTCTTCTGGACTGCAGAATTGGTCTTACAGCTGCCTTGGGCTTGTGGGAGTGAGGGGCTCCCACTAGGCTAAATCAGGTACCTATGTGAGCCATCCAGTGTGGGTGGTAAAGAAGAGCTGAAACACACCTTCACCTTTGTGCAAAGCCTCCTTAAGTCTAAAATCAGCCATGGTGGGCCTGTGCTGAATTCTTTGACAGCTTGCATCTCAAGCCAAATGAAGGCCATAAAAATATCTGTTGATTAGCTAGCAAGTACCATGTCGTTTCAGGAAGCCAAAGTAAACTTAACCTTCATTGCAATGATTTTTCAATGATTCGTTCAGTAATGAAAGACCAATGAATATTTCATTGATATATGGTAAGTGCTGTTTAATAAAACTGAAGGCGTAATAGTGGTGAAAATGTGAAGGCACTTAGTCAACCAGTAATCAGTGGGTTTATACTAACGTTAAAACACCTTCGCCTCAGATATGGAGTCAGGGTAATGCAGTTAGGATCTGCTGTTCAATGAAGGTGCAGTGCTGCTGCAACCCTGCCTTCATCGTGCAACGTCTGTTGCCACCTGACACATTTCTCCTGCTCCTTTCTCCTGGCCACGCATGCAGATACAGGTAAAGCAAAGGTGAAGGACTTTACCTTTCTTTCCTTCTTTATGTGAGTAGGCTGAATTCTAGGTGAAAACTGTAATTGTTAATGGACTCTTTCTGGTGGTTCGTAAGAAATGACTACTAGACACTCCTGAGGAACCAAATAAGGAAACAAAGTAATAAAACTATAGAAGGAATTGGAATTTGGCACACAAAAAAATGACGTTTTAAAACAGGCTTTGTCCTGAATCAGAGCAACAGCAAAAATGACAACATTTTGCTTAAAGGAAAATATTGTCTTAGATAATTCAAAATATTTTGGGGTGTGTGTATATAAACACACACAAAATACACAAAAATATTAAAGATATTTAAGTGTAGATTATAACACAAACTAAAGTGATGAAATACAAAATCACTTTCAACAGAAACTGAAAAGATATTTTGACATTGGAAAAACAACTATTAATTTAAATTATTCAATATATGCCAGTTTTTCAAGGCATTTAAATGTCAGTGAACCCTTGTATTGCAATAAAAATACCAGAAGGTTTACATAAAGTTTTAGTGCCAAAATAGACCACTGGAGCACTACACCTCTTTTGTTCCTTAAGGAAGTGGCTTATACCTAAAAAATTCATGAAATGGAAGTTACTCTTTTATTCCCGTCCTATAATAGAACCCTAGGAAGTGTGTGCTCTGCAGGTGGTGACATCTCCCTTGCTATTTAAAGGTGCTGATTAGGTGCCCAGGATTTAGAATCAGTGGGTTTTGACTAGAGGAGAAAATTCTGGTCCAGCCACCACGTAGGCAGCCAAAACCCAGTGTGCAGGTCAAATTCACTTCTAACGTAACACTCAGCTGGTCGGTCTCCTCCCACCAACTTTGGAGATAAGGAAGTAAAGCTCTGCAGGTGCACGTCTCTCTCTTTTATTCAGAGAAGGAAGCACTTGATGTGTAAGAACAACTGAATATTACAAGGCTTTGTTATAACTGTCACCCAACACCTGTGACCCAGCACACAAAGACCACAGTCCACACTTAGGTCTTCTGTCCCCTCTGTCTGGAGTCTCGGAAGAAAAGCTCTCCAGCTGGCTCAGAGTTGCGCGTATCTCAGGTATCTCCTGATGGCCCCAAGGATCATCACAGGCCTGGTGCTGCCACTGGCAGCATGTGCTCTGCCTTCCCCTGAGCTACTCGCTCTCCCGTGTCCTCTTATTCCCCTGTAAATTTGTACCAGATGGGAAGAGAAGTCGCACACCACAGAGGAGACACCAAACACTGTCAGGGTATGGCACCACTGGAGATGGATCAGCAGCCTGGTTCAGAATGGGGAGACAGCAGGGTATTCTTAAATCTTTTTTCAAACAAAGCGAAACTCAGTCATTGCTACAAAGCGTAGTCTGCTTGGGACCTCAAGCCATCAAAAATCTCAGCTTGGCTTGCCTGAATTTCTGGCCACTTTTGTTTCAAAGGGTTGTGAACCTCTACAAACTTGGCCTGAGTTCCAGGCTGGCAATGAAACAAATTTTCCCTGGTTTCATTACAGAAATGTTTCCCACCTCTAGCGACAGAAAGCACAAAATAGAGAGATTTAATAGACTCACCACAGTAATAATGGCTGTGCACAACAGGGTAAATCCAATGAACAATGTGCTTTATTTGGCAGAAGTGCGTCAGCTTGTTGTAAGTGGCTCTAACAAAATACTCCTGGTCTCCTCAGATACTTATGATTTTTAACTGCTCCCAGACCTAATTGAGTAGAGTTCAGCTCTTCTGTGCATTAAAGACACTGTGGTGTGTCAAGTAACCAGGATGTTTTGAGACTTAAAAATAAAACGTTTGTGCCGTAGGATATGCTTAAACTATAACACATAAGCCGTGTAAAAAGCTAGTAGCTGCTGAAGTAACGGGGTCTCTAGCTCTGGAAAAAGAATGTATCACAGGAGCCTGTTGTTGAGCACAGGGCACTGCTGGAAGATCTGCAGCAAAAGCTGTTGCCATAAAGGCTTTTCAGCCCGAGGCTGTGCCGTGGTGGCCATCTGTCCTACGGTGCAGCAGGTTGGTGCCCACACTTCATGCTCAGGGACACCTAGAGTGGCTTGTAAAGCCAAGAGGAGGAGCCTTTGTAGCCTGGGGTGTGGATCAGGCCCATGGTGAGGCTGAGTGAGCTCGATGCTGTGGCACAGCGTGGGGCATCAGTGGCCACCTGTCAAGAGCGGGGTGGAACATCCCCGTCCGGAGAGTTTGGGTGTCTTTGCTTCACGCAGAGCGTGCCAGGAGCGTCTCGGCCCTGCATGTCGAGTATATTCCGCAGCAAATCGAATGCATTTGCTTAGGTAAGTGGTTCCAAATTGGGGTAAGAGAAGAGATTTTTGGAACCCTTAGTCTCGTTCGCTGAAACAGATTTTCAAAGAGAATCGCTGTACGTGAGCGTTCAGCGCTGCACAGCTCTAAACACGAGCTTGCTGTGCTGACCTCCGCACTGCCTGCAGCCAGCGGGTGATTCCTAATTGCTGGTGTTAGAATTAAAGGAAAATCTATATTAGAACATTAGTGCTGCACTAAGTAGGCAACTTAAAACACTGCTCTGTACAGAACCGTGCGGATGAACTGTAGGCAATTAGAAACAAATCTCCATAGCCAGTCTTCAAGAATCCTATAGAGATATTCATAATCCTACAGTACCCTCAGCTCCTAATACTGCTCTGCAGGGTGCTTTAAAGACTTGCACTTTACTTATTGCAGTGGCTGTATTTGGAGCAAACTGTCATTGTGGTTTCCACAAAATGCTTTGATAATAAGCCAATATTGCACATTGAGTGTTTTCTAACTGCCATCGCAGCTTCTGGCAGCAGGTAGAAAAATCGTTACAGCTATGAGATACTTCTTTCTCTGAAAGATTGCTCTATTTTTATGATAGATTTTTTTTTTTTAAATAACAGGTTCATTTGTAAGGAGAATTAAATCCCTTTTTATTTTCAATCATTCCCAGTTTATAAGCTCTCCTTTCTCGTAAAACCAGGAGATACTACTGCACATTCTCCCCTGACTGGGGTGCAGAGTTCATTTTTCAAGTGCATCGAGGATGGCAATGAAGTGCTGTGTGTGAGGGGGCCTCACTCTCTGTTTACCTCCCGCAGGAGCACAGAAACGCCGTCACCCATGTCCCTGAGCCCGTCCCCCGTCAGCTCTGCCGGAAGCAACGCGGGCACTGCCGGCTCCTCCTCTGCGGGGACCATCACCATCCCTCAGCGCATCCACCACATGGCTGCCAGCCACGTCAACATCACCAACAATGTCCTGCGGAGCTACGAGCACTGGGACATGGCTGACAAGCTGACTAAGGAGAACAAAGGTGCCCCGCTCGGCTTCTTCCTTGTCCCCTTTGCTTCATCAGCTTCAACTTTCTTTCTGTTCTCGTAGGCGTTGTTGGGAATTGGACCCAGGACTGCCACATCGAAGAGCACAACTGTGACAGCTTGAGCAAACAGACCAAATCTGCTCGCTGGTCACTGTAGCCAATGCGTATCTTCTCTTGTCAAGCACAGAGGGGGGATGTGTGACACACGCTGAACACGGGGTTAGCAGAGCAGCTGGCAAATAATTTAGCGAACATGAGCCCCAAGTGATGAGAGCTTTTGAGTCTGCAAATTCGTTCACAGTTTCAGCTTCTCAAAGAGCACCAGGGTTATTTTCGTACTGCTCTGTCAACCGGTTTAAGGCTATTAAAATGCTAGCTAGGATAATAAGCAAACATTAGATGTTATGTTTATGCAGGGAGTCCGATTAGAAGATGTCCACTGAAAGCCATGACCTTGACTCTCCTATGGTTGGATTGCAAATCTGCTTGTTTATTCCTAACAAAGTGTAAGTCTTCACCCCAGTCATCTCAAGTTTTGGCAAAGCAGTTTGTGACTGGGCTATATCCAGTATAGTGGAATGGCTGAGATGTAACTAAAGGACAAATTTGGCCCATTATTGACCAGCCGTGAGCTTCTCCATGATAGTGTAATTATTCAGATTCCAGCTTTGGGCTTACACAAATCATTGACAAAGCTTGCATTGACACTAGAGGTGCAGAGCCTAACTGGGAAATATTCTCATTGTGAATTGGCTCATTCTCTTAAATTATACCAAGATTTCAGATGGCTGACTTTTCCTGACAAATGTGCTCACTGTATGCAGTTTGATCTTACTCCCATTAATGTCAGTGGCAAACTTCCACTGATTTAGAGAAACTAAGCTTGAGATTTATAGAGTT